ACTCTGCCCTGGGAGTTGAAGGAATAATTATCACGTCTCATGATTAAAGCCGAAATTCTTCGGAAGTCACGAGACCGATGCATCTTCTATCAACCAGAGCAACACTCTTTATAGGTACATGGAATGTCCGGACAATGTGGGAGACAGGAAAGACCAGCCAAATAGCAATGGAAATGAGAAGATACAACTTGGCAGTACTCGGAATCAGCGAAACCCATTGGACAAAAACTGGACAACAAAGGCTAGGTACAGGAGAGATGCTGCTGTACTCAGGTCACGAAGGGGAAAATGCTCCACACACTCAGGGAGTTGCTCTAATGCTGTCCAAAGAAGCAAGAAATGCACTTGTGGGATGAGAATCTCATGGACCCAGGATAATCAAAGCATCATTCAGAACAAGGAAGCCAGGGATCAAAATGAACGTTATCCAATGTTATGCACCCACCAATGATAGCAACGACGATGATAAAGACCAGTTCTATGAAAGGCTGCAATCAATTATAGCAAAGTGCTCACGAAAGGACCTCACCATCCTGATGGGAGATCTAAATGCTAAAGTTGGAGTGGACAACATAGGATATGAAGATATAATCGGACGACATGGACTAGGAGAGGGAAATGAAAATGGGGAGAGACTTGCAAACCTATGTGCATTCAACAAATTGGTTATAGGCGGCACAATATTCCCACACAAGCGCATACACAAAGCTACATGGATCTCACCGGACCACACCACAGAGAACCAGATTGATCACATCTGTATCAACAAAAAATTCCGAACATCAATGGAAGATGTGAGAACCGTAAGAGGAACTGACATAACTTCAGATCACCACCTGGTTGTGGCCAAGATGAGACTGAAGCTAAAGAAACACTGGACAACTGGACAAACAGCACTACAAAGGTTCAATACAGCCTTCCTTCGAGATACTGACAAGCTCCATGAATTCAAGATAACTCTCAACAACAGGTTCCAAGCTCTACAGGATCTACTGAAAGAACAAGAAACTACATTGGAGGACAACTGGAAAGGGATAAAAGAAGCACTAACTTCAACGTGTCAGGAGGTTCTTGGTCCTAATAGAGAGACCAGTTGCATTCCTAAACATCAATGAGAAGACTAAACAAACAATAATGAGTGAATTTAAACTTCACCCCATTGTACAAGCAAGTGGCTATCAGGACTCAGTAGCTGAGTGGATAACGCGATGGCGTTTGAAGCGATAGGTACTGGGTTGGAATCCCAGAGTGAATATCAACTCAGACGCAGGTATATTCAGCTGACGAGTTCCAAATAGGACGAAACGCGCATCCTGAATTCCTCTGCTAGTCACTATCCATCTTCGCTTATAAAATGCAGATATTTATTTGTATATCATATAAACAGATTGAATTTTGTATGTTATACATATATACGTGTGTGGTTTACCTTATTTTCATTGTAATGTATATATATTAGTTATTTTTTATTTCTCTATTTCTTTTTTTCTCTATTTCTAGACTAAATTGCTGTTAATTCATTTAATTTTTCTGTTCTATTCTCTTCTATTACCTACATTTTGTCGGCAATGTTTCTTTTCACCCCTTAGTAGAAAGGAGAGTATAAGCGTATATGTTCAGGCGAGAAGGAGACAGAGAGCGAGAGAGAGTGAGAAGAACGTGCTATTGAGTGGAAAAACAGATAACATAATAGAAAATGAGTAAAAACAACTGTAGATATAACATCTGGAGAGGATTAAATTGAAGAATTTCTTTTTTCCTTCTCGGTCTCTCTTATTCCCAAATGACTTGATTGACAGCATTTATAGTATTGAATATATATAAAAACTAAAAAATATGTTATATAAACATGTATAACCTCGATGAAATAGATAATAGGGAGAGTTAGTGAATTAGTCAGTCAGTCAGCTACAACGTAGGACTAGGCATACATATGCATCGGTCCAAGTTGCCACACCTCATTAGTACAACAAGATGAACACCGAGTTTGTGAATAACACTGGAATTCCAAGAGGTTTAGTTTCATTTGGATTTTAAAAAAATAACTGACAGTCAACTACATATTTTAATATTCACAAGTTAGACATGAATATCAACAAGTCGGAAATTCAAACACTTATTAATAATCATAAAAATATCATATCTACTAAATGGATTAGTGGTTATTTGGACTCAGTAGTTTAGATGTTTGAAACGGAAGGGTCTAAGTTCGAGTCCTGGATAGAGGTCTATTCAAATGACGAGTACTAAATGTGACGAAACGCAAATCCTGGGTTCCACATCAAGGCATAACTCAATTTTAGTGAAAATTTGAGTTGCTGGTGCTGTATTTAACAAGTAAGCTTCATAGAGAATTCTATTCCTGTGCCCAGATACGCGGTCCTCAAACCATGTATGTTAATTGGCATTTGTTAACAAATTCCACATTATTTGTTTATGTAATTGCTGCTCCCATAAACAACCGAATTCATATCATATAATGTCACACCCTGTGATACTACCACTGAGCTATTCGGACTAGAACTGACCACACGTAAGACTTAAATTTTTATTTTGATCAATCAATGAACACTGAACAAAACGTCACATTTATTAAGTCCACTTAAGGCTAGTCGAATTATATCAGTGAAGTTACATTCGGATCACTAGTTTGATCGGCTCAACATGTACCACACTTATTGATTTAAAGTTTAATACAGAATGTACAAATTTGAATAATCTTATCCATTAAGCTAATAACTTGTAACAATCTTCACTTGTATACAAGTTAGTAAGTGATAATTCACTAGACTATTTTTAAAAAAACTCATTTTTATTGTGAAAAGATGGATAGTGGCTAGCAGTGGAATCCAGGAAGCGGGTTTCATCCTATTTGGGACTCGTCAGATGGATGTACCTGCATCTCAGAGTTGATGTTCACCCTGGGATTCCAACCCAGTACCTATCGCTTCAAACGCCATCGCGTTATCCACTCAGCTACTGAGTCCTGATAGCCACTTGCTTGTACAATGGGGTGAAGTTTGAATTAACTTATTATTGTTTGTTTGAATCTTCCCAATAATGCTTAGGATTGCGACTGGTCAGTCTCTAATTGGCATATATGCATACTGTGAGTATTGCCTGGATATAGCCTTAATTCACAAGCATTGTAAGCAAAGATGGATAGTGACTAGCAGTGGAATCCAGGACGCGCGTTTCGTCCTATTGGGGACTCGTCAGATGGATGTACCTGCATCTCAGAGTTGATATTCACTCTGGGACTCAAACCCAGTACCTTTCTCTTCATTTTTATTCTATTAGTTACTGAGTGATCGATTGAAAAGATATCAAGGTTTTATAGAACTAAATGAAATTTATCCATTAGTCAAACAGATTATTTTTTTTAAAAAAAAACGTTTAATGGTTTACCATTAAATGCCTAGCCAAATATCTTTTCTGATATATTCTATAAATATTTAATTATTCTGTTACCAAGTCATAAATATTCCCTTTTTTCACCATAAATCAATTAATCATTGGAAAGTAATTAGAAGTGAATAAGTTTTTTGGTTTTTGTTGTTGCATATTTGAGGGTTTAAGACAAGTATATTAATTATCTTTTAACCAGAAACTTCAATTCATCTTCAAAGTTGAAAGCATGAGTCAATTGAAGCTAAACCGTCAGGAAAAACCTGGAAGCACTAGACGGCCGTTTCGTTCTATTGTAAGCCGTCTAGTGCTTCCAGGTTTTTCATGGTGGTCTAGCTTCAATTGACTAATGTTTTCAACTATGAAAATACTAAATCTCTACAAAAAAAACCCTTCAATTCATCTCTTATACACCTTAATACCCATTCAAAACATTATGAACCAATTATTATTTTGTAGGACAAAGTTTCAGTTTGTGAACTTTAAGAAATTCATTATAGACCTAGTCAACAGTTGATTATAAGATTATAATTGATCAATGTAATGGTTTTATATAAGTATCAGTTGGAGAACAATCTAATGTTAAATGATTAAAATTTCCTTCAGATTTATCCAGACATCTGAGAATTAATATGATTTTAATATATTCGATACAAAAATTATAATAATTGTACAGGTGAAAGTTAAACCTGAACAAATAGACGTTGATACTAAAGTCAGTCAACTTAATTGCTAAAACTGGGCCACCATCCTTAAAATCTTAAGGGTTAATCCATAGAGCCCTGATGCTCTCCCTCGCTTTAGAATACCTCTAGACATTTCAACCCCACCAAGAGTTGAAGAATTTATATCAATTCTCTATTCAGATTGCTTGGAAATAGTTAGAAAATAAGATGTGAATAGAAACCAGTGGGACAGTTCTCTAAGCTGTTCAGTTTGTCGATTCAATATCCTGGGTTAACAATGAAAGATAGTCCCAACCAAGATTCACTACCACATCAGAAATTTACCATTCTTATTACTATGATTCTAACATCAGAGTTATTCACTCGGTCTTCCTAATATACCCCAGAAACATTCCAAAGATACTCATAATTTATTACAAGTAGTCTACAAACATTGTCTTTTTTTGCAGACCATGTCTCCCAAATACGAAATAGAACAGAACAAACTGCTGTCCATTATATTCGTTCATTTCGATTATCAGACGAATATCTCGCCGTACACTTACGGAAAAGAATGAAATCAATACAAAGAATAAATCAAAACATTTTTTTTCAATGAATACTCATCTTTGTTGATCTATTTTAATTAGTTACCATAAGGAAAAGTGAACAAAAACACAATAATCATGATTATTATTATGAATGAGGTTGCGAAAAATGACGATATTGTCTATCAGTTGCTTTGTTTCTTATTTTTTTCCATGAATTCTGCTTTATTAGTAAAATGAAGAAAATATAATATTAATTTCAATAGTTGAGGTCATAAGTCAATTGAAGCTAGATCACCATGAAAAACCTGGAAACACTGGATGTGCACTATTGAGGAGTTCCACAATAGGACGAAACGGTCATCCAATGCTTCCACGTTTTCCATGGTGGTCTAGCTTCAATGGATTCATGATCTTAACTATTGAAATCACTATAATATCATGTATATATATATATCATGTATACACTTCACCAAAATACTCATAGACACTATCTAATATATCTGTGTAGATATTGTAAACATGAAACACTTCTTATTCAATAATCATATTGTTATTTTCTTTCCATTTCATTCTTATTATTTTCGAATAATCATTAATGAACAAACGAATATAATTGAATGATAAATAAATTAAGTTAAATAATACATTCAGAGAGATTTCACGACCATTATTGAATATTGAATATTGTACAAGAAAACACTGAACATGGGGGGATACAATAGTTGTCATGCGCATGCTCCTACACACCACCACCACTAATAACTCATTTGTTTATAAGATGTTTTATGTAACATAACTGTCTAAGATTAGATTCCTAGTCTACTCATATATTAATTACTAACATATAATACATAATAACTACATTTCGATAACTGTAAATGTACCCTGTAAGACCGAATACATATTTAAATATACTTAGAGTTTTGTAATGAATACACACTTAGGAACAGAAGAGAGTATATTGTATTAAATACATTAAAAGAAATCATGGCAATTTCATTAATCCAATAAATGCATGGCTACCATTTAAGAAATCAATAATTAAAAAATAAAATAATACAATTTAAAAGACAAAATAATAACAATTTAAATGATCACAATGATTGAGGGGGGCTGAGGGGGGAAATTGAGGAAAAAATTATGTAGACCCCATCGTTTTATGGGATAACACCAATGACGACGGTATCGACAATAACAACTATAAGAATGAAATTATAAAGAAGAAAAAAAGATCATATTGTTCATTTTGTATATAAGTAAATATACTACATAAACAGAATTAATGATATACTACTTATATTAACTTGTGATTTGAAATTGAATTAAACTATAATTTTCAGTTTCACTATTGTCAGTATTATTATTATTATTCATGGTGCTGTTAGTGATATGATTATCTAAATTATCTGTATTCATTTTGTTATTTAATCCAAATACTTGACTTGATGATGCTCCAACACATGGATCACCACGTGCAGGTAAACGTGATGGTCGATTATTAGATGGTGGTAAAGGTGGTGGAATTGACGAGGCCGATGCATCTTCACTCATTGAATCAATAATCATATTTGGACTAATTTTTGCATGACTATAATAACCTGGTGTAGTAGAAGTTGAATGCTCTAAATCACGCCCAACAAAATTTGTATCTAATTGACTTAAATGACCTTTAGTTAATAAAGATGGTATATTCGAAGGATTTTTATCAGGATTATTAGTAGTATTAGTAAGACTAGTACTACTATAACAACCAATGATTGGAAATCGATGATCAAATTGTCCATTTATTCCTAATTGTTGTGAATGATAATTATCTGGTGTTTTGGTATGTTGATAAATTGCATATGGATGTAGTGTATAAGTAGTGCCATCAGGTGTTCGTGTAAACTTGGATTTATAATTATACTTATTACCATTATTATCATTATTTTTAATAAATTCATTTGAACATAAATAGTTTTGTTTGGTCAATTCGAATATTTTTGAATTTCGCGGTAAATTTTGATTTTCCCACTGTTTTTGTTTTAATGTTTCAATATTATTTGTTACAGATAAACAACAATTGTAGTTAAAATAAGAACAACACTGACAACAACCTTTCACAGTCCACATCCATAAACTACATGTGAAACCAGTGACAAGTGACATAAATATACGTAACATAAATAATTCTGGATTTGGACCATAGACCTCATTAATATTCCATAAATATGATGCAAAATTCATTATCTCTGGATGATTTCTTGTCCCATAATTGTTAGGATATTGATTATTGATTAATTTATGATTATTATTATTATTACTATGATTATTGGTATTCACACTAGTACTATGATCGTCCACACGCTGTTTATAACCGGGAACAGTTAACCATTTATCACGATATAAATATTCATATAAATCACAGGCATTCATACAAATCAGAGGGATTAAATATAGAAAACAGAATAATCCAATACGAAATTCCATTGGATCACATGATGAAGATGATGATGATGACATTGAAGTTGTATAACACAAATCTTGAGGATATTTTTGATTGAAACGTTGAGAAGAATGATTACGAAGAGACTGATGGTTATATGGATGATGATGAGGTTGATGAATATTATGAGATGTAGGTTGATAATGATGATGACGATGATGGTGATGATGATGATGATGAGATCTATTAACCGTAGATCTTGTAAATGTGGGATTACCATCAATAAGTTGATTATCTATCCCTTGATTATAATTTTGCTTTTTAGATTGAACAGAATGATGTCGACTTGATTGATTTCCATTAGTATTACACTGTGACCAATAAAAACATTTACATTTACGAAAACATGGTAATAAACACAAGAAACCAATTGTAAATGCAATACTTCCTAAAGTGATTAGAACAGTTTGAGGTCCAAGAATAAATGCACCAAGAACATTGGTATTTTGACGACCTACACCACAAACTGGAATTAATTCATCTGCATCAACCTGTGATGAAAGAAGAGGTAAAAATCAGGTAATTTCAAATTTATACTACATCAATATATCCGATCAAATTTCAAGTCATAGAACAATGAGTGAAGTTTAAAAAAGTACTTTCATATTTCTAGTTAGCATCATTCGCAATGACATTGAGAATCTAGTGTAATATTACAATGAGTTCTTTATTTATTTAAACACATAAGCATTGGACAAGGAGGTGCGAAATATTCATGCGCCACACTTCGTCATTCGATTTGTATGAGGGCTGAAATACTGCACGGATACCCAAACCGAATCAGATGGTTTTCTTAGACAGCCATTCCCTGAGCCTTCGACCTGGAGGTCTTATCTACAAGACAATAAACATAGCGTTAGAAGATGCAGTCTCATAGTAGCCGGTGACCAATAATAGGTTAATGCACCATTTTTCCACAAGGACCCAGGAGTCTATGTGCACCATTAGTTTGAAATCAGGGTTTTCCGTCTCCCTTATTTGGATCCTCCATATCCACCAACCCAGTTAAAGCACCGGACATTTGTTTTTCATCCTGTCAATTTCGTAAAATACACCCCCACCTCGAGAACACAGTGAGTAAGACTTTCCTGACAGTGTCTGTATACGCGTGGTTATGTGGGAGCATTTCGAGAGCGAAAGACAGAGCGAACTATCACCACCCTCTGCCATACCAGAGCATTTGGGGGCGCAACAATGAGCACTACATACCTTCTACATATTCAGGTTTAATACGATTGTTTCCACTGATAAATTGAATATAAACCCAGAATAACAAACGTATCAGAATTATATATGAATTAGTTTTTGCGATAAGATGGTGGTTGGAGGTGGTCAACAGAAAACCTTGGACCCGGTTTTCGTGCTACTTGGCACTCGTCAGTAAGGTTTACCTGTAATCTTGAGGGAACTGATGCTCCCTGACGGACTCAATCCCGTGTCACTCAGCTTCACAGTCAGAGCGTTACCACCTCCAACCACCATCTTATCTCAACATAGTGCACGCAGTGTCTAGCCACCTAAACTAGTTGTCACATTGCAACTTGATCGACAGCATTCGACCTGCACTAAGAAGGACTTGACACACATGACATTGATCACCACCCAGTGATCAAAACGTGACTCGTGATGCATAGGTAAATTGGCTTGTCCAGAAGCTAGAATAAGGTATACGGGCTTAACATATCAACTGACACTACAATATATTATGTAATTCGATAATGGGAATTAAAGTCACCAGTTAAGTAAAAGATTAACAACTGTGTATTTCTTTGAATGTGTATGTTCAATTTTAATCTTTTAAAAGTAGTGGCCTTTATGAAATGTAATAAATTCAAAGTTGTTTAAATGTTGATTATTTGGAATGATTTTAAAATATCAACATGTTATCCACTATCCAACAGATAACAAGCAATTTTATTATTGAAAGCCGTGTTGATTGTTTTAATTTTAATCGTTATGGTATGTACTTTTGAAATGCAATCAACAATCCAACTTCTATTCTTCTAATGTAAATTATTTGGCATGTACACTTATGTTTATCTCATAATTATTATTAAAGTAAGGGTTTGTGGAGATTGTAGTGATTTAATATTTTAATTCATGAGTCGATCTAAGCTAGACCACCATTGAAAACCTGGAAGCGCTGAACGGCCACGAATCCCCATTCTGATAGTAATCACATGCTCACTAGTGACAGGGCTTCAAAGCGGATCTACTAGAGTTCTAGTGAGAAGTTGTGACCAGTAGAGTCCAACCCATGTCGGGTATGAGACAGTTATCTACTTCAGACAATGGATGAATGGTTGTGCAAGAACATAAGTTGATTCAAGTTATAGACATTATCACCGTTGGATTCCATCTCAGTAGTCTAGAGGTTAAGTGTTCGAGTGCGAGATTGAAGGTTCTAGGTTTGATTCCCGATAGCAGAATCATGAATATGCAATGTTTAAAAGTCTCATACCTAGACGAAACGACCATCCAGTGCTTCTATATTGTTTAATAATGTTTTACTTTAGATTATTTCTTAACTTTAATGAAATTTTACAATCTATACAACTTTATACTGAAAATTTCATAAATAATAAATTTCCTCAGAAGGGGTTTTGTGGAGATTTAGTATTTTCATAATTGAAAGCATGAAACGATTGAAGCTAGACCACCAAGAAAAACCTGGAAGCATTGGACAGCCGTTTCGTCCTATTGTGAGACTCCTCATTAGTACGTTCCACCATCCCGCCTCGCGAGATTTGAACTCAGGACTTAACTGATAGACCACTGAACCGGCCGGCATCCAACGGTGTAAATATCTAACTTCAACCAATTCACAAAGTTGAGCAACCGTTCACCAATTGTCTTCAGTGAGTTGCTATCTCACAATAGACGTGGTTTGAACTCCACTGGTCACTGCTTCTCACTAGAACTCCATGAAATACCTCTTGAAGCCAGTCACTAGTGAGCATATAATTATAATCAGAAAAGGTTTTGTGGAAATTTAGTATTTTCATAGTTCCTTCAATTGACTGATGCTTTCAACTATGAAAATAAATTTCCCTATATATACACATAAATACTCATTTATTATCATTATAAATTTACCATTTCAAATGTAAACGTATAATTAGACACTATTATTTTTTTACCCCTTAACAATACAAATGCCCCCCCCGTACTCCATTTATCTTATCACATTTCATTTTAACAATAATTCATCCATATTTCCGTTCAATGTTTTTTTTACATTTCTCAAAGAAGAAATATGATACATTGATCATTCAAACAAAATATGAATAAGATTTTGATTTTTAATTGCATTCAGTAACTTAGTCTTTTTATACTACTTCACTATAAATAGTAATAGTAATATATGACAGGATGTACATATGCCAACAAGAGACTGATCAATTGCAGTGCTAAATAACAATGGGAAGATATAAGTAAACAGCAACAACAAGTGAATGCATGACATGTTTTCAACCATGAATAAAAGTTGGGGGAAAGAGGGTAATACACCCGCACACACACACACGGTAAGATAGCCATAGACACAAGAAAATTCATATTCTATTTTTTTTTTAACATTTGTTCATTTAAATGTCAATTTCCGTTTTTATAAAGTTCTTTTTCCCCAAAAAAAATTTTTATTCATCAGGAAATAATAATAATAATTATGGTAATATACATGACTACTATCATTTTATGCTTCAATCAACATGAGTTTTGAATACAATTGTTCAGCTTTACTGTCACATCCATACATACATACATAAACATTCACACACACACACATACTCATATATATACAGAAATATTCAAGATGGAAAGTATTCAATCAATTAAATATTTTATCAGAAGGGGGGTTTTGTGGAGATTTTAGTAATTTTATATAGTTGAGATCATGAATCGATTGAAGCTAGACATTGGTGAATGGTTGTTCAATATCGTGGATTGAAGTTAAACATTAACACCATCGGATGCTGACCGGCTCAGTGGTCTATCGGTTAAGTGCTCCGGTGCGAGACTGATAGGTTCCGAGTTCGAATGTTACGAGTCGAGATCGTGGATGCGCACTACCGAGGAGTCCCACAATAGGACGAAACGGCCGTTTAGTGCTTCGAGGTTTTCCGTGATGGTCAAGCTTCAATTGACTCATAATCTCAACTATTAAAATTACTATTTACCTATCGCAATCAATCACATTTATACATATGTGCTCAATATTTAATCTCAATGGGATGATACACAACATTTTGTTTGAATCGACACATTATGATTATGCGGAAAATTTAAGTTTTGATTTATGATTCATTTTAAGCTCGTGATTATCTTTAACATTTTCAATAATTGTGTTGTATCTAGGTCTTCAGTAATAAAATGTTTAATATTAAAGTATAATTTTCATTAAAGACTTCATTCCAAAAACTATCATTCTATTTATATTTCTTATACGGTATGTTGGATCGCGCTACATGAACATGTTTATAGCATACAATTACAAGTAACTATATAGGTTTTGAAATAGATACATGGTGAAAAATTATATTCCAATATTTGCAGTATTCACCTATTAAACAAAGAAAACAAAAGTCCTAGACTTGTTACACCTAATGAACATTGAATATGTTACGGATAAATTCATCTATGAGACAATAAAAAAACAATGAAGATTTGAGATGGTGAAGAAGATTTGTAGCTTAGGTGGGTGATTTTGATGAATGAAGGTTTACTATAATGTATTCTTATGTCTAAATAGATACAAATTTAAGAATGTATATGTATACATATTACATTGTTGTGTAATTTGGTACAAAACAAAAATTACTCAGGATGACGATACCTATCACATCATTGGTTTTAGAAGATAGTGAGTATTATTATTAAACTTGAAACCTTTTAGTGAACAAAACACACACTTACACATAAATGCACTAACACATAAAGTAGATTGTCTAATTCATGAATTCTTACTTAATATAACTAAGTTGAACTATTCTTAAATGATCAATCAGAAGATCAGTTGGTGATTTATAGGTGTATGTAACATTTTTTGAAATTTAAGTTTGTGTATATATGTATTGATTTCATTACAATTTTAGTAAATTTATAGTTGAAATCATGAGTCAATTGAAGCTAGATCACCTCGGAAAACCTTGAAGCACTGGATGACCGTTTTGTCCTCTTCTAGGACTCCTCAGCAGTGCACATCCACGATCCCTCTTCGCAAGATTTGAACCTAGAACCTCAAAGTACTTTTCAAAAAAAAAGTAGACTAACATCTTATGATGTCTTCTTTTAGATGTTTTATCTAAATTGACGTTAATTACTTGAATGGTTATTTTAAAAATTGGGAATGAAACTTAATTTCCATTAATTATTCATCTTAGAAACTGTTTTTTTCTCGTATAAAACTTAATTTATACAATGTGTTTCATTCATTGAACGACAATAGTTTGGTTATAAATTTAAGTGATAAGGCACAATTATTAATCGGTCT